CTGTCAGTGTGGTGCTGCACTCCTATTCATGATAAGAACATTTAGGGTGGTGATTACTCTAAGTACTAATGATAAGGTTAAGACTTAGTTTTTCCATTATACAAATCTGTGGTTCTGTCTGCACTCTCCCATAAAATATGAACTTAGACACCCTGATGTTTAGTTAGGCTCTCAACATGTTAAGTATGGGAATATGAAATGTGAAATGGGATCTCAAAGTCAGTGAGATGCAAGGCAGGTAGTGGTCAGCACTCGCAGCTATGAGTGTGAACTTTCAGTTGCTAGAAAGTCAGCAGACCCTTTCTATGGAGAGTTTAGACTCACACAGGGTACCCTGACTCCATACTCTGTTATAGGGATGTGGGCAGAGGATTTCAAGACCTAACTTAGTATGATTGGTCACATTGGGTACACTGCCTTCATCAGGAAGTATGGCTCCAATGCCCCACCTCATAAAAGAAACATTCAAAACTACAAAATTGTGTATTTCACAATTCAAGAGGATCTACAGTGTCTTCATTTACAAATGGGGAAAGCAGGGATGGCAAAGGACCAATGCACATGGTCAATAGGCACTAAGGACAAAAAGTAGGAATGGGAAGCCAGGATGGAATCTGTATGGGACTTGTAGAGGTTTGTACCAGAATCCCCTTTTCCTGGACAGCAAAGGTTCATTCCCCCTCCCCACCTGCCATGTCTACAGAATGGTCCCTGCCACACAGATTTGCACCCAAGTAAAGAGGCTAATTCCCACCCACTAAGCAGCCCCAAGGTCATAGCTTAACCTGCATAATCAGAACATCCATTGCAGAGGGTGGGAACATTGAAAAGATAAAGGACCTTTTAAAAACAGATTCTTCCCCACACACTTTTTTCATAATTATAGCTTTAAGAGCTTATGGTGAAAGGAAAACTGGCTTCTTAAGAAAAATTAGGAGTTTCATCGGGCAGGAAAGGATTCCCCAGGGAACAGTGCACTGTCATTTTTTAGAGTCCCCAAAAGAAACTCCCGCACCGACAACTGCACATTGGCCTGATGGATGGTTAGCCTGCCTCACTTACTATGGCCAAAGCCTCATGTTTTAATTAAAAACACTCTGCATGCCATTAAATATGTTGTCACCTTCCATTTCTCCAACCATAGAGTTTGAGGAGATACAAACAAGAGAATCCATTGCAGATGTGTCAGAGACCGTGTCCTACTGAGTCACCACTACCACGTCCCAAATTCCAGCCACAGAGGACCTCCTTATGAAAATACAAAGTGCAAACAAATGACCCCTTCTGCAGCATTCACAGCCTCTGGCGGTTGCTATGGTCGAGGAGAAGGGTTGGAATGGGGACAGGAACTACCTATACCAGCATCTCCCTTAATTTATGAACAGAATTTGTGACCTCACAAATTAATTCCTTGATAAATAAAAATCCTCTGATCATATGTGGGTTTGTACCATGCTGTTTCTTTTTCCCTTCTTTGTTTTTTTTTTTTTTTAACTACAAAAGTCAAATATTTAGGGGAGTCTCACCCTGTTGTGAGCTCAGATAGGGAAAGCATAAGAAGCAAAGCTAGCTTAATTTAAGCATTCATATGTGACTCTGGTACATAAGCATCAACTTATTTTGTGAGTCTCCAGTCTGAGCACCCTCATCCCCAGACTAGCACCACCAGCTGGGTTTTATTTGGGGTTGCCAGGCCACCCCTGAGCCTTCCCAGAGCAGATCCAGCCCATAAAAGTTTAATTTCTCCTTGAGTGTTTAATTCAAGGTGACACCTCCTAACATGTTGGTTCTCTGATCACCTTAAGTCACCCAGCTATCAGTGAGAAAGTGTCATCCCCTGCACAGCCCAGGGTGAGACTGACAGGTTATCTGTAGGCACTGTCCTCTCAGCTCCCACAAACCAAAGTTACCAGGACCTTCATGGGCATTGAAAGTTTTGGAGTGACGAGAAAGATTCCCATTCTATAGGAGCAGAAGATAAGAGCTATATGCTAAGGAGTGATGTCAGCTTGTGTTAGAGTCCCAGCCACTGTTCTGGTGTCCTTGGTATAATATGGCACTGGTATCTCTGTCAGCATCTCTGTTTTCTGTCACCATTCACAATCCGGGGCCTGTCTCCAGTTCTGACAATGTCTTTTCAGATCAGGTTAGTGCCAGCCCAGAGACCAAGTCAGCTTCCTAGCACACAGCCCCTTTGTTTGAATTCTGCCCTTTTGTCATTAATGCACTCAATGTCTATTTAAATCTGGCAGTGAGTGCAGTATCTGTTTTCCCATCAAGAGATTATTGACAATATTAATAACTCACGACTTTGCCTCATTTTCCAAGTGCTGACACTTAGCCATAGTCTCCTGCATTCATCAAACAGCCCCCTCTTGCCAGGATGTCTATAAGCAGTCTTGCTTCCAGGCCCAGAGAAATAGGGCAGGCCTGAAAAAGGAGTTTTATCAATGCCAACCAGAGGAGATGTGTGAGTGTGGCTCAGAATGCAGCCTCAGCCCATGTTCCAGGAACACTGTTTCCATCTGCTTGCATCAGGTGTAGAAACTCAGCATGGAGAAAGGTGGAGAGTAAAGTAGAATCCTTGGATGTGTGGGCAAGTTTACGGATGGACCGTGGTAGACCATGGTGTGTATGCAAATGACTGTCTTGTCACACAGTTTGTTCATGAGAAGGACTGTGCTCTTTATGATATCTGGCATTCTGATCCATTTCTTTTTTTGTAAAAATTCACGCTGTCTTGGTACTGCAGAAAGAAATTAACATCCTTTGGATCATCCCTCCAGATTTGTGAGAATTTGCTTGAATCAGCCAGATTTAAGGCAGTACCTAATGGGGTTTTCCATGCATCTGAGGCATGCCAAGTCAGGCCAGTAATGGAGGTAGAATGTGCTCAGCCCAGCCCATAGACCATCAGGGTTCTGGCATTGGTAATGATGTTGGTATAACTCTAGGCTCTACAAAATACAGTAAAGGGAACAGCTCTGGGCCAATAGCTGAAAGAATGGCTCACAAGAAAGATATGAGTGGAGTTTCACACAAACTCAGTATTTCCATGCACTAGACCAACACTGAAAATCAGAAACTGGGGAGTAGAGCATGGAGGGGCAGGAAAGCCTAGTCAGGCAGGAAGAATGGCCATCAACAAAGCTATCCATGGCAACACAGCAAGAAAAGAGCCAGGTCCCAAATGATGTCACCCTGTCTATCTTCTAAACCTGAGAGCACCTGGGATCTTTCAAGTTTGCCTCTAACTATTCAAAGCAGGGCACACCTATACGACCCTTAAAATTCTCTACAATTTATTTTAGTTCTTAATTAAGAACAACATTTAGGGGACAAGGAGGAGGAATGGTTGATAAAGTGCTTGCCATGCAAGCATGAGAACCTGAGTTTGATCCCCTTATATAAAAAGGCAGTATACAGCTGTGTACATCGGTACTCTCAAAGATGGGCTGAACAGAAGGAACATGGGAGCTTGCTGGCCAACCAGATAGCTGAATCCCTGCACTCAGGGCCAATAAGAAACAAATAATAATTTAAAAATGACAGACAACAATTGAGGAAGACAACTGATGTCAACCTGTGGCCTACACACACACACACACACACACACACACACACACACACACACACACACACACACGGAGAGAGAGAGAGAACACAAATTAAAGGGACAGAAAACATATACTCTACTAATATTTAATGTGAGGAATACAGCTAATCTCAAATCAACAAAGAATGATGTATATTGATATCACTCTACTGAACCGAGGAAATAAATATCCATGTGTAGAGGTAGCGATCATCACAGACAGGTTTGTGGCTCATGGATTAGTGTTTTATGGCTATTTCTTTTCTTTGCCTTCTGTGTACTTCATAGATTTAAGTCCCATTTATACTCAAACCGCTATGTGCAAGTGAATTTTAAGTTAGTTTTTCTAAAATTGGAAAGAAAAGAAGAGGTGGTAAAAAAACAATAAATATTTTCTTGGGAAAACGCTTTTTTTGTTCTTAATAATCTTATAGCATTTCCACAATGATTGTAGCCAATGTTCTGGGTATTTATTCTGTAATGTTGAGTATCAAATCTGAGACTTCCAAATTCTAGGCAAGCACTACTCCTACAAATAATAATTCCAGCCTTTGATTTTGTTTTTGAAACGAAGTCTCACTATGAAGCCAAGTTAGACTTGAACTCACCATCCCTCTACTCAATCCACCCAAGTACTAGGATTCTAGCATGGCCTGCATGCACAGAGCTTATGTGGGTATTTATAATATATAGAGACACGTTGATCGGGACACCTGTCTCTCTTCTAAGGCTGTGTTTCATAGTGAAGTATCCTACAATCTCCACAAATGACAGGAAAGTTTTCTAAGAAGCCACAAATTATATATGAAGTCGAACTAAAGATAAAAGTGCATTTTCACATGAGAAATGAGTCAGGGATACCTAATGTCAGCGGTACGTGTTATTTTCAGTACAGTGTTCAGTCTGCATGCCCACTCCCCTTTAATCACCCAGAGTGGGTTTGAAGTCCCCCGGGATTTGGAAAATTCTCCCTGGAAGTCAACAATATTGATTTCCAATAAAGGACTTCAAAATAGTTACACTCTGGGAAGATTTCCCTTCAGCTTCTACTTGAGCTGGATTCATCTGATTTAAACTTAATTTTCCATTCTTGGAAACAAGACTAAGGAAATCTGGAGAGGAGAGGGCTGTCCTATATTTCCAGGAAACCAAATTAGAAAAGTTCTTAAAATGAAGAAATCACACAAAAAGCTGTTTATTCCTAGGAACCTATACATAACAGTAACATTTTATTTCAAAAGTCACCTCTGAGGACAAGAAGGTACAGTCTTTGCCATCTGAGGATTAATCTGTTTCCTACTTGCTATCATGCTAGTGATCGTAGTGCCATGTCTGCTTAGTAACAGCTGAATTTCTGAACTATATGAATTATGCCAACAGTAATGATGTCTCTTTCTGTTTGTAGGTGTCCTGGGGAAAGGTCGCTATTTTTACTATGGAAGAAACTCAGAGGGTAATAGGTTCATCCGAGATGACCAGCTTTGAATGTAACCTCTACATGCCTTAGCTTATTTTGTGACAATAAAATGGAAAGGCAAGAAAAAACACAGCTCACATTGTGTCTCTCTAAGATGGCTTTCAGTGTCTTATTCGGACTTTGCCAGGCCTGTCAAGATCATCCACCTGCCTTAGACTGAGTGGTCACAGAGAGATTGACATGATTGCCCTTAAGCAGGTCTCATCCACCAGGGTGACAGACAGCAGTGGCAAAGCAGCAGGGCTGACAGCGTGAACACCATGATAGATTGTCTGGTCCCTTCACTGCTCACAGGGAGGCAGGGTCACACCTGGGGCCTCCTCAGGCATGCTCATTGGCTTCAGTATAGTGATAGAGACTCTCCCGAGCTTGCCTTCTAAGTCCTCTGAAATCACTGTGCTTTGGGTTTATTTTCAGTGGAGTATTCACTGGTACAGATGAAGGCAATTCCCTTTATCCCTTTAGCCTGCATAGTAGGCATTATATTTACCATGTCATAAGCATTGTCTTCTATCACTGGCAATTTGTTGTCATCATTCAAAGAACATAACTTCATAGCCAAGTCATCTTTTTATGTGTGGCTTTATAATACAATTCCTGACTTTCCTTACATCCCTGACTACAAAAGCATGTTAGTTCAAAATCTACTTGTCCTGAACATATCAGTCACAGAGTAAGCCATCTTTCCTGGCATAGAATTTGATGACACCACAAATTCTCCTTTTTTTCCCCTTATGCCTATAGCCATATTTACCCTACAGGCTGCATTGTTCCTTTGGATATGAGTTAAATGTAATGAGATAATGAAAGATGGTGTGATGGGCCAGGAGATTAGAAAACAAATGGAAGCTTGTAGAAAATACCTTGCTGCCCTCACAGGTTTGATAGAACACACACCTTTAAGGTTTCCTTTTTCTCTCAGAACCCCTCAGGACTCATATCCATAGCTGATGAGGCATTACTAGTTCTGTCTTTACTTTGGTTGTTTGCCAGCACTGGATCATAGGGAGAGCAGGTGCAACCATGCAAGACAAAAGGTTGTCATATTGTCTACCTTACAATTGTCTGGGCCAAACCATTCTAGAAGGTATATGAAAGATTTCTTACCTTTGGCACAATAGCATTTACCCTTTCTTCTTGTATTTATGTTTTATTCACTTCCCTGAGTCCCCTAGATAAGACAGTAAAGCTTGAAAGAGAATATCTCCAAGTCATGGATAGCAAGAGAGTTGCTAGTAGAGAGTCAGTCATCGAGGACTCCGATGCCCTGAGCTGCTGGAGAAGGACCTTCTCAGATCTAGTACGTTTACATAGCTTCTGCCCTACTGAGTTAACATAGTCTTGGAATAACATATCCAGCCTGGCAGGATTCCTGCATGGAGATTACACAACATCCATTCATCAGCTTTTGGGATCAGCTAACATTAAAGTCCTCAATAACTAGAGATTATACAAGCCACTAATAACCAGGGTTGAGTACCTTCTCTCTGTTTGATCTACACAACAGCACCAAGAGCTAATGGTTTCCATTAGTACCATCAGGTCTCACCTTGCCTCTCTGTTTAGCTGCATCAGAATGTTTGGTCCATTGCATATTATGGGAAGCAAGGCTCCTTGCAAGGGCAGAGAGGCTAGTCTGATGTCACATCCAATCTAACGGCACATATATCCCTGTCTTCATAAAAGGCTTTAACCCTGCCTCAAACAATAAAAAAGCACTTGTGAACTGACCACAGAATTTTTCCATCTTTATTTTTCTTACTTGTTTACTTTACTTAATGTCAGAACCATTTGTATCATGTGCAGGAATGTCTTCCTCAATGTGAGCTTTGGAGGCAAAAAAAAAAAAAAAAAAAAAAAAAAAGAAAAAAAAAAAGAAAAAAAAAAAAAAAAATTGAAGTGAGTTATTGGCCACACTGTTTCCTTCTCTTTGGGTTTTTTATTGTCTTCCAGAATGGTGTAATAACTTCAATTAAGATTAGCTTTAATTATAACTTATGTAAAGGCCATCATGGCAGTATATTTATCTTACTGATGGCATTACAGTGAGGTTTGTTTCTCTTAAGTGGGGATGATGATAATGAATTATTGTCGGGTTGTTTACAATTCCATTGTCTGTTGAGTAACATCTGCCCTTCTAGAACTGGACTGTGGTCTGAATTGGCAGGAGAGTTAGCACTGGGCTTTGTTTACTGAAAATCTGTAGGAATTTCCCAAGCCTTGTTTTTCAAAGTTGGAAATTACAGGGCAATAAATTCATGTTTGAAGTCCAAACATGTCTCATCTGCCCTGTTACACCTGTTTATCTTCCTCACTCTGCTCCATGCAGCCTGTTCTTTGGGGACCACTCTAGGACAACCCTTTCTCTCCTCTCCAGGCCACTGGTCTGAGTTCAGAGAACTGGAAGAAACATGAAATTCTGAAGCTGTCTGTTGCTTCAGCAAGTCTGGGAGACAATCTTTCTCCTAAGTAACATAACATTACAGAAGAATTTGTTCCTAGGGGGGTAATGTTTTAGATTGTGGGAAATCCTATTAAAAGTACTATTTGCTTTTACCTTTACCAGCCTCGCTCATAAACCCTCCATCTGTTTGCTGCTTTAAATAGAAGTACATTATAAAAGATCATTGCTTAATCAGGCTATACATCTCCATGTTGTATACTTCCACATATCCATGTGTATTAAGAAATAAAAGAAAGCAAACTACAGACTGAATGAAAGGTGTGGATGTGTGTGTGTGTGTAAACAAGCTGTATCTTCACCACTTCAAGAGACAACTTGCTCTTTCTAAGAAATAATCTGAATGACATTCTTATTTATTTTGTAGAACAAAAACAACTTACATCTAGAGGGCTATTTCTGTCATAACTGTAACATGACTCAGAACTTTCTACTTTTAAGGGCAACCTACAACAGATATATGTCACTGCCTGATGCCCAAGGAAGATGCTCAGGGCTCACTGCTACTCTTCTTTGTTGCCCACCTGCTACAGTTTATCCAATGAGACCTGTACTTCCTGAATTTTCCAGTTTTCTTTCCAAAAAGCCACCTTCCATAAAGAAGGGTGTTACCATTACTTGACTTGTGTGGCTACAGTATTATAATCTATTCTGAGTAAGAAAGGAAAAGAAACCCAAATCACGAAGCATGCCAATCATTTGTTTGTGTGAAAACCAGATCATTGAATCTTGGCATAATACCCTGCTGTTACTTATGTTGCTTCTGCTTCTGTGTTCATTTTTTACATATTTTATTGGGTTTTTCTTTAGTATGAGTGCACACACATGCATGTGCTTCATGCCAATTTTGTGACTGAAAGTCAATGAAAGTCAAAAAACAATTTGCTAGAATCAGGTCTCTCCTACTGTGTGGGACTTGGAGATGAACTCAGGTTGTCATGCTAGTGGCAGGCATCTTATCTATTATAGGGTAATAAATTCATGTTTGAAGTCCACCGAACCACCTTTCCAAAAGCATTTATTTCAATATTTGAAGAATACCACAACATAGGCACCTCTCCAAAATCATTGTTTTTTCTAAAAGTTTCTCTGAAACTTCCCAGTATTTGTGGTGCTCCATTAGATAATAATAATACAAACATCATCTGGTTACTCTGTTGTAGAATATTAATAAATTGTGTCATTTGTAAACATTAACACATCAGTATGTGAACATTTTTCTGAAGTAGATCAGGTTGTGACTCAGAGATAAACCAACTCAGGAAACAGTTATGCTAGGAAATAGGGGTTATGTCTTATATGGATATAGTGGGAAGTTATGGGACAAGGTGATATGAATGGCAATAAGTAGGATTATGCCAAGGGAGAGCAGAAAGTAGTCCAGATGTAGAATCTTAGTGGAGAAGTGTAGGCTCAGAACTGAGAAGAAGAAAGACAAATTTTACCAACCCAAAGAGTTTCCCATGGAGGAACATCCCTCTACAAAATGAAGTCATGTTTGATATCATCGGATGAACTCAAGTTTCTCCACCTGTGATGATGTATTTGGTGCCACAAGGACACATGTGCCTATGTATGATGGCACATGGGGCCACACCTGACTGATTCTAATTTGTGTGGTAGGCTCACAATACCTAGGATGGTAATCCTAGTTAAGTTTCCCTAGACAAGCTAAAAGTGATAGAAAACAGTGTCTGGACAGGAAAATGAGAAAGACTTAAGTGAGTCTTCAAAATCTCATTAGGTTCAGAGGTAGATGGATACCTAGATAAAGATGCCACAAAAATGGACAGTTATGACAACAGGTGAAGACAACTATGTGGGCAAAGATGCTGATAATAGATTTGACTACCTCTTGGTCCCAGATGGAAAAATTACTTCATAGAGAACACATAAGATATTTAAACTCATTTGTGGATAACCAAAATTAACATGCAGAACACTCTAGAAAGTATTTCTTGTCATATCAGTTACTCAATGTGGCCAACATTTTTTTTTTTTTTTGGACGGATGAGGGTTCATCCAGTCCTAAAGGATCCCCTGGCCTCCACATGCGATTTACATGTGTTCATATAGGCATACACACATATAGATAAAGGTAAATACATATTTTAAAATTTAGGAATGGTTTGGATTTTGTTGAGGAGAACTTTCTTTAGACCTAATTTTTCAATTTGGGTACTTATAATGAGAGAAGCAATACCCTAGTGAAGCAATACCCTAGTGGTGGGCTCATCTGCAGCTAGTAAATTACAGCAGGCATGAAGTATCAAAATAACAAAAAATGAATATACATTACTTATTTACAAGGATTAGACCTATTATACTATAATTTAAATAAAATATTACTTTTGATTCAACTTAAAGCCAGATAAAAATGAGTTTAACATTTAGATACAGGTTTTTATTTTATGCTCTTTCTTAACTTAATGGAGTCCTTTTCTTGGAAAAAATGGCACTCTGATTTTCATCACATAGGAAGGTTTATTTTTTAAGATTATGACAATAATGAAAGAATGGTGTTTTTTTTCCTGCATTATACTATAATTTAATTAAGAGAAAGCAGTAACAACTACAGAGTCTCCTAAAATATGTACTTACTGCTTTGTCAAAAAATAGAAAGTTA